ACAGCTGAAATTGTAACTATTTCCCACTTGTACAATTCTTAAGGCAATATCTGTAAGTCTGAAAAAGCGACTTTTTATTACACAGGAATTTTTTTAAAAATCAAAAGTAACTGTATTTGAAAATAAGATGCACATTTTGGCAGCTGTCAGTCAAAAGTCTTTTGGAGTCAGTAGGATTTTTTTTACTATTTAGGAAGTTCAGCATTTGACCTATTGATAGATTTCATAAGAAAAGCTTATAATAAAATCTCAACTGTAGGAAAATAATATGATCAAAAGCAAACAGCAAGTGAAAAGACAGTCTCCATTTTTGACTATGCAATGCTCTTTTGTTGCCACTAGAGCAATTCTTTAATGCCATGGAAACTATCTGATAAACGTATTAGAAGCTCAATAAATTTCATAATACTGAGGTAGCAAAAGCAATTGGTATTGTTGACAGAGAACTTCTGTTCTGAGTGCCTATTTTAAGGAAGATAAATTATCTAAAAATAAAAATCATGCTTCAAGCTGTTTTCAACAAAAATGTACAATAGTTTTAGAAAACCTGAAAGTAAACCACACTAATTATATTAGATCATCAGAGAATGTGGGAAGATGATAGGAAAAAATAGGCACACCTTGAAATTACAAAAATGGGATATGTTGATTTAAAATTTAACAGTCTTAATTTCAGATGGTTTGCTTTACCTCACTGAGGTATTTTTAGTGAGGACAAGGGGAATGGGAAGAATACTCTGAATTACGTGCAAGTTTTCTGTCCAGTTTCTCAAGGTCCTAAGCATGTATTCACAAGGCAGATGATCTTTTTTAGTCATCTGTATGTATGCCTTCATTCTCTAGACACTCCCCTACCATTACAGATACTGGCAGAAAAACAAATGAACTCCCCCTTCCCCTTTTACAGGTAATACTGAAATTGCTCTGCTTTCCTGTGTCCAGTGCTACAACATACTTTTTTCCAACCAATTGCTCTCTGACAGTGCACTCCTACCAATCTACCTCCAGAGACTTTTAAGTAAAAGGAGTATCTACACAAAACGAAAGTAAAATAACCCTCTAGTAAATAAGACACCCATCCAGCGCACGCACGGTGCTACCCTCCTCTGCAGAACAAGCATGACCTCAGGCACGCCACAAACCTAGTGAACAAACCTGGGCTGTGTTCAACTAAGGCACAGAGGTGGAAGTACTTATTCCTAGAAAAGGACCCTTCACCAGGACTGCTCTGCCACAAAGCAATGACCTGCCAGGCTCTGTGACACCAAACCAGCCTCTTTACAGGTAAAGCCAAAATCAAAAGCCATAACGTGCTGCAAGATACACCAGACAAATGTTTAAAAATACCTCTGAGCCTGAAACACAGGTAAGAGTACACTTATTGACACCTGTACCACAATGCCCGTATGTACTGCCCATCCCATTCCTCTACACCTGAACCAGAGGAGGAAAGGTTGAGTTTTAAAGGGTTATACCGGACATTAGTCATCGTGAAAAAGATAACGTCAAATTAGATGTGGTACAATGCAATTAATAAGACCATAACTAAATTATCAGAAAAATTAAGTCTTTACTGTAGGCAAACAGAACAGCTTTTTGGCTTGTAGCTTTTGAATGCCCAAATTCAGCCCAACAGAACCTCAGAAGGCACATCTTATTTTCTAAATGCATTAAATGTTTAAAAAAAGATACAATACAGGCATTTCTGTTAATTAAAAAACAAACAAACGAGCAAGCAAACAAAACTAAACCACAAAAAAAAAAAAAAAAAAAAAAAAAAAAAGAAAAAAACACCACCAGACACACAGAACAACACTGTACTTTTTTTTCCTGGAATAAGCAGTACTGAATATTCCAGTTCTTACTATATTTCCTAAATAGTAGCTTATCCTTCAGACTCGTACACAGCATCAAAACACACTGTTTCTTTCTTTTTCTGTACTGAAACATTCTCATTACCAAATGAACAACACCACCACTGACTTATTTGTTTTTGCAATACAGGCATATATGTTCACACAAGGCAAGAGCCTGCACTAAAACACTACCAAAACAAGGCATTTCACTATATATGACTCTGCCCCTAGGGAGAGGAACAAGAGCAGATAAGATGTGACAGATGTGTAGTCACGTCACTTAATACACTACTGGAAGGTGCTCAAATCATTATGGTGACAGGCAGAGTATAAAAACTTGCAAAAAATGGACTAAGCACGTATCTTGTTTTCTGCATACATGATTCTTGTAATCAAAGAAGATACTGAAGTCCATAAAGGTGGTGCTTGAGAAAAGGCAGCCTGCAAATGTCAATATCCAGTACAGTTATTGGAAAAAAAAAAAAAAGAAAGGAGCACAGCATGTCAGCAAAGCCCCTCTCTCTATCAGGGATATGAAATACTTCTAAGGTTGAATCCAAGGTCTGGCCTCTAAGAATTTAATACTGAAACACTTCTGAAGAGATTTAATTAAACTTGAAATTTATCCAAAACAAGAAGTTTAAGTAAACTTAGCAACTACAGATCTCCAAAGAAATTTCATTTTTCTGTGACTTTAAAAAGCCATTTTGCTGAAATCTCTTCTCTGTTTTGGTTTGAAAGACACAAACAATAAGGATAAAATTGGAAACCATGTGCTTACTGGACTAAAACAATAGGACTGTTCACTTCTTTGAAGTGCAAACCTGGGAGTTTAAAAAATTAGGACTTTCAAGCAACTGGCCAAGAGAAATAGGAAAAACTCAGGAGAAAAAAATTTCCTCACTTCTTTCAGGTTTAATAATACTCAATGTTGCAAATATTAATGTAGGTCAAGAATATTTCTATACAGCAGCATGATTTTTAACTGCC